TATGAATCAACTTGAAATACAAAAGAAAAATTGAGCTTCTATGAAGTGTCCCAAGGTGTAGGACATACTTTTACAGTCAACACTCATGTAAAAATAAAAAATAAAAAAAGGCATTACCTCCACTGATTAAGAAATAATAGACTTGGGCCGAGCCCGTGGCGCACTCGGGAGAGTGCGGCGCTGGGAGTGCAGCAGCGCTCCCGCCGCGGGTTCGGATCCTATATAGGGATGACCGGTGCACTCACAGCGCTCACTGGCTGAGCGTGGTGCGGCTCGTCTCAAAAATGACAAAAAAATAAAATAAAATAAAAAAATAATAGACGGCATAAAACTCAGTTCCTTCCAAGTCTTCTGGTGAACTGTACAGAAGTGCACCCTCTGGAAGAGAGCGTTGTTATTTTCTTCTCACTTTTATGAGTCCAGTCTGTATTGCTCAAAAGAATGCCTTTTGTGAAGGCCATACCAAAGCCTCCTATTTTCACATGCTTCAAAAAAAATATTTCTGGGCTTTTAGGTCTGCAAGTACATTCCCCATGTGGCAAACCAAATGACCTTCCGTATACTTTGAGAAGACTCACGCTCTGTGCACTCTCTGCTCCTCCGGTCTCTGTGTGATTGGCTCCCACTGGGAGAGGCCACATTGCTGCAGCACCAGGTGACACTGCACCTTGGTCTGCCCAAACAAGGTAAAAGTTTTTGTCAGAGGGTTCTTCGTACCATGAAATGCTCTTCTAGATCCGAATTTTAGTCCAAATGGCAAGTGATTTCCACAACAGATCTAGATGATCTATCTATCCTCTAAACCATTTTCTGATAGCTCAATGGATGATTCCAACTCACTGGCAGCTCTTATAAATTGTGACACAGTCGATCAATTTGTTATTCTGCTTTTTGATACCAGATTGTTCAAAGAATCTTTCTTTCCTTGAAGTTAAATCAGGAAAAATAATGGATAAACTCCTACGACCATCACTTTATACACAATATTGGTCTCTGTCCCCTTTTTCAACAGAGAACACTCTCAGACATGGCAACTGAGTAGAAACTGTGACTCGTGGTTGAGCCACATGAATGTGTTCTAGCTAAATACTGTGAAACCTACAATTTTATGTTATTTCAGAACTGCCAGCAACTTTCCTAGAGTATCTCCATGCAACTTGTTTTAATTGAATTCTTACAATTTTTTGGTTGCATAATACTGACCATCTAATTTACATCAATATTTTCCTAAGATGGAAAGCTCTTCAGATTGCCTTCAATAATGTTAAGTCCAACCTTCAAAGGGTACTTCTTCTCAGAAGGATCCTAATGAACTCTCTCTTTAGCTGACTTCATTAAGTGAGTCTCTGTTGTTCTATGGCCTCATTGGAACTGGCAGGTGAAAAAAGGTAACCGCCCCATTTTGGTTAAAAAAAAAAAAAAGAGCTTTAACAAAGTAATTTAAATGCCTGTCCTGAATGACCCCAGCTTGCCATAAACGCATAGCTCAATCACTCTAGCAAAAAAGAAAAAAAGCAGCAGCAACAGCAGCAACAGATTGTTTGTAACTACAAAGGGAAAGACGGCTCTCATAGGGATCCTTCTAGCCCCTGGCATTCTGTTGGAACATTAGATTGATCCACTATGAACATAGTGTTATCACTGTACATGAAAATCACATGAAGATATACATTTCTGAAGAAGCATCAGTTATTTTAAGACTGCCCAAAGATGATGATTTAACTGTGCAGCTGCAGAGGTACATTTATTTACATATTTAGTCTAGAAGACATGACTTTTCATTTAGATCAAATGATTGATCGTTCATTTTTATCCCAAGTGTACTTGGACGTGTACGGAAAGTGAAGCAATAACTATTAATGTGTTGGTTCGATGAACAAGAAAAAACTTCACAAGCAGTTAAGGATGTCACATGTTCTGTCCACTCATCAGATGCTTCACATAGAAAACAGTCAAGTTAATTTCAATAATGGTTTGGGTTTTTTTATCCAACTCATGGAATCAAAAGAAAGCTTTTAGAAGTTCACTCGTCATACCTGAGATTAATGTGTTGGTTCGATGAACAAGAAAAAACTTCACAAGCAGTTAAGGATGTCACATGTTCTGTCCACTCAACAGATGCTTCACATAGAAAACAGTCAAGTTAATTTCAATAATGGTTTGGTTTTTTTTATCCAACTCATGGAATCAAAAGAAAGCTTTTAGAAGTTCACTCGTCATACCTGAGCACTCAGTGGAGACCCTGAAGGTAGGAGAGCTCTTCCCACAAAATTCAATTTATAAATCTTGCTCAGAAAAATTTTGCAAACAATTTGGAGATTTTATAAACCTTACATATTAGCTATAAACACCTCACATATTAGAAAATGAGAATACTAAATAAAATAAATAATAGAAGTTAAGAACAAAAGTAAAAAGGAAACATCATGAAGATCTAGACGTTAAATTAGAACATATAAAAGTAAAAAAGGAAAATATAACTCTATTCTTCAAATGAGATGCATTCTACCCCAAAATTATTTAGAAGGAGAACCTGACTTAGCATGTACACTAATGTTAAGTATCATAAAAGATTTAGTGAATAGAAAGTCTACTACTAAACCATGAAACAGAGAGTAAAGTTCTAATTCTAGCTCCAATCTCAGTTCTGCTGTGACTTTGAACAAGTAACCTAATCTTTTTAGGATCTTTCCTATTCTAAAATGAGGACTTGCACAGCAAGTGTTACAAAATAACTTTGTTCCTCAAATTCTGCAGGGTATGAAGAGAATAAAACGTAAGAAATTAAAACAGTTTTCCATATTTTGATTATAAAATGGTTTTTGGTTATACATTCAATATGGTATTAATGCAAAATTATTACACAGGGAATTCCTGAGATAACTTATAAAGGCTCATAATACAAATGATCACTACCTTGTTTAACTTCTCTGTGCCTCAGTTGCCTCGTACGTAAAGGGAATAATAACAGCACCTACCTCTTAGGGCTGTTTGTTAGAGTTAAAGTATTTAATATACAAATAGCACTCTGAGCAGTTCCTGGCATATTGTTAAGTTCTGTATAAGTGTTAACCAATATCACTTATCATAACCTAGTTTGGTGGATATCCACTCCCCCATGACAATCCTCATCCTGCTGCCATCTCTAGAAATATTCCCAGAGCCCCTGCCTTACAGCACAGCCACCATTAGAGCTCCTGAAATCCCTGCCTTCCACTAACTATCCCAACAGCATGCCATCTGCCTCCATGCAGTCTCTGTAGCTGGGGTTGTAATGGCACAGATGCCACACAAAACTCCCCTTCTCCTCCTCTTCCCATCCTCCACTCATAACTGTCTCTGAAGACATGAATGCCACAGACCCTGCTGGACACCAGGGTTAAAATAAGGAGACCCCACTGTCATTACAGTGGGTGCAGGGAAAATGGGAGGGGCAGGAAGCAAGGGAAGCAATCTGTACTTGTGCTGTGGAGACTACATTTAAGAGTAGGAAAGCATGATGATTTCAGCCATGTCCCATAATAGATGTTTGTTCCTAGCAGCCTGAGTTTCGTGTTAGAATTCAGTCTCCACTAAGAGTGACATTTAAAGTTGAGCTTTTAGAAGTAGAGTAGAACTGTGGTAACTAGAGGGTGGGAAGGGGAGAAGAAAGGGAGGGAAAGGGAGAGGTTAGCTAATAGATAGAAAATTACAGCTAGGTAGGAAAAATAAGTTCTTGTGTACAGGAGTGCTAGGCAACTATAATTAATAATAATTTATGATACGTTCTCAAATGGCTACAAGAGAGGAGTTTAAACGTTTTCATCACAAAGAAATGATAAATTTTTGCCATGATAAATATGCTAATTGCCCTGATGTGATCATCACACATTGTATACATGGTGTTGAAATGTAACTCTGTAACCCATAAGTATGTACAATCGATACATGTCAATTAAAAAATAAATTAAAATTTTTTTGAAAAGAGTGTCACAAGACTTATTATGTTAAAAGACTTTTGTTGACTAACTCAAAACCTACCATTTTAACATGGGAAAATGACTTACACATGGAAAACACATCTTGTTCATCAGTCAGAAATTGCCTTTATTGGCATTGTTTTGGTCTAACTGTTATTCTAATAGACATCATAACATAATTTTATTAATACTATTATACCATAATTAAATATATAAAAATATTCCAACCAAGTAGTAGATCTGATTTAAGGAGTAAATATATGTCTAAATTTATTTTTGGCAAAATTTAGTTTGTAGTTTCCAAAAAATCAATTTATAAAAACTCTTTATTTTAGGCTTCATTCACTGTGAAATATATATGAAGTGTATAACTTACATATAGGCAGCCAAATTATACTAACTTAAGAAAAAGACTATTTTAATTTTAAGAGACAGTGATTGCTCTCCCAACTTGTAAGACTGGAACATACTGCATCATCAACTTTGAGAGGAGTTTTTGCATGGCTATACTTGCACATATTTATAGATTTTAAAAAATCTCTTAAAATACAAAATCGTACATTGTTGCATTATACTAATTAAACTTTTTAACATCAAAGTTAGTTTAAATAAAATTAAAACAAATCCCTTAAAGTTAAATTTAAAAGAAGGATGATGCATTACATGAGATAATTTGATTATTTTTAGAAGCTAAAACTTACTATTAGACGCCAGGATTCCAAGTATCATAGTGGCATTTCTTCTTACAATTTTATCTTCATGGGTGAGCAGTTTCGTTAAAGGCTCCACAGCTCCAAGTTCAAGGATGGTTGCTTTATTTTCCTCACCTGACATTACAGGTAAAATAAAATCATGCATGGACATTATCAATCTCATCCACACTTTTCTTTGTGTTCTTCCAATTTCTTATTTGCCGTTTGCTTTTCCCTTTTGCTTTGAATCCACTCCTCTTCCTCTCAAAATAAACTTTAGACGGCAGATGTTTGCTGCTCTCCCTCCTGATATTTACAAAGCCGGCTTCATCTCCTATTGTTTATATATCTATATATGTTCTATTGATTCTGTTTCTCTGAAGGACCCTGATTAATACAATATAGAAGATTATGTCATCTTCTATAAATCAAATATAGTTCTACTTCTTCCTTTCTACTGTGGGTGCTTCCCTCCACCCCCATTTTTCTTGCCTGGCTACATTGGCTAGAACATCCCATACAATGCTCAGTACTGTATAGAAGTAGTCAGAGCAGACACCCTTCTCTTGCTCCTGATCTTAAGGAGAAAGGATAAAATTTACACCACTAAGTATGATGCTAGCCATAGGTTTTTCATAGATAATCTTTACCAGGAGGAGGAAATTTGTATCTATTCCTACTTTGCTGAGATATTTTATCAGGAGTAGATGTTGGATTTTGTCAATTTATTTTTGCATTTATTGAGATGGTCAATGTTTTTTCTTTTTTATTTTAAAAGATATGATGAATTGATTTCCTATTGTTGTAACAAATCACCACAAACTTAGTGACTTAAAATAATACAAGTTTTAATCTTATAGTCTGGAAGTAAAAAGTCTGATATAGGTCTTTGTAGGGTAAACTCAGTGTGTTGGCAGGGCTATGTTTTTTCTTGAAACTCTATGGGAGGATCCATTTCATTTTTTCTTACAGTGAGTATTCTTTGGCTCACAGGCCCCTTCTATCTTCAAATCCAGCAATCACACCATTCTGACTTCTGCTTCCACTATCACAACTTCTTTGACTCTGACTCTCCTGCTTCCTTTCTCCAATAAGGACACTTGTGATTTTTTTTTTTTTTTTTTTGGCCTCACCTGAATAATCCAGATAATCTCATCATCTCAAGGTCATCTGATTAGCTACCTTAATTCCATTTGCAACCTTAATTTGCCCCTGCCATGTAACATAATATATTCACAGCTTCCAAGGATTATGATGTAGACATTTTGGGGAGTATTATTCTGCCCACCACACACGGTAAAATACTTTGATTGATTTTTAAATATTAAACCAACCTTTCAATCTGGGACTAAAACTCATTTAGTCATGATGTATTAGCTTTTTTATATATTGTTAAATTCAATTTGCTAATATTTTGTTTAGAATTTTTACATCTATGTTCATGAGGCATATTGACCTATAGATTTCTCTTCTTATAATGTCTCTGTGTTTTGGGTTTCGGGGTAACGGTGGCTTCACAGAATAAATTGGGAAGTATCCCATATTTTTCAGTCCTCTGAAAGAGCTTCTGTATAATTGGTATTATTTTTTTCTTAAATGTTTGGTAAAATTCACCAGTGAAGTCATCTGAACCTGGAGTTTTCTTTATGGGAAAGTTTTTAACTACAATTTCCAATTTCTGTGATAGACATAGGGCTATTCAGGCTACTATTTAGAGCTGATTGGTTAGAAGCTCCAGAGGCCCAGGCTTGCAACTGGCATCTGAAGTGGGGGGGTAGTCTTGGGGACTGAGCCTTTAAACCTGTGCAATCAATTTCTGTGATAGACATAGGGCTATTCAGGCTACTATTTAGAGCTGATTGGTTAGAAGCTCCAGAGGCCCAGACTTGCAACTGGCATCTGAAGTGGGGGGGTAGTCTTGGGGACTGAGCCTTTAAACCTGTGCAATCTGATGCTCCCTCTGGGTAGATAGTGTCAGAATTGAATTGAATTAGAGGACACCCAGCTGGAGAATTCACTGGAGGATTGCTTGGTGTGTGGGGAATAACCCCCACACATTTGGGGTCACAGAAATGTTCTGTATTGTGACAATACAGTAGGAGAAACTGAGTTTGTTTACCTCTCTATCCTCAACTATCATATTTTATTGTTCAAATTGTTCCAGCTTTGACCACCGGAAGCTCTTTTAGCTCCTGTGACATTAGCAATTTTCAAAACTACAATGAAATTTTCAAAATGACTATTCTATCCAGTGACTAAATTACTCCCTAAGATTAAGTTAGGCACTTAGAGAGACATTACTTTCAGGTAATGCATTAAATGATATTGTTTGTCTGAAAGAATTCATCTCACAGGAAGTTAAAGACTAGGGAGAAAAGGGCCTAGTATGTAGTAAATATTTTAAGAAACTTATGAAACAGAAAAATAAACTGGAAAAAATCCAAACCTTTTAAAGCAAATTTATAAATGGCTTCACAGGCTTTAGCCAAAATTTCTTCTTCTGGAGAATTAAGCATTAATACCACGGTTGCTGCTTTTTTGCTTTCAATTGTTACTGCATCAAACTGAAATGCAGAAAGAAAAATATCAGAATCACATAAGAGCTTTAAAATTAACATAAAAAATAAAAGGTGTCTTAAAACTTAAAGAGAACATAATCTTGCAAAAAAAAAAAAAAAAAAAGATGTGATCACTGCCAAATAAGTGCATTGTAAAGTTTTTATTTAAAAAAAAATCACTGCTAGAGAAAACATTGTCAGCACTGGTAGCCTTGGAATTTCTGAGATATGGTGGGAATAGCAAAACATTTTGGAAGCTGACAGATCTGGTTTCTCAATTTAGCCATGTGGAATCAAACAAATTACTCAAGCTCCTAGAATGTCAATTTCCTTTCCTGTATAATGGGGATAATAATGCCTATCTCAAAGGATCAGAGAAAGGATTAGAGATCATATATGTAAAGCACTTAATACACTGTATGGTACATAAACAGAGGCTCATTAAATAACATAAATTATCATAATTCTTAGTCACTACACAAGAATCCTTGAGTACCTGTAAATATTTGACACCCTAACCACCTCAATAATTAGTACTTGCTTTCCGACCACTAGACTCTTTCTGAGAAAGCATGAATTCTATAAGTAAAACAACGAAAAAGCAATAGAAAAGAGCTTACAACAAAATGTAAAACTGGATAAAATCTGAAACAGGGGAAATGGCAATACAGTACAAAGAAAAAGTACAGAACTCTAAGAACCTGCTAGGAGACCCAGGGAATTCACATGCAGCTGAAATGAACAATAACAAACTCATAACCCCTAGGGGCTTTCTGTGGCCAAGGGGAGAACAAATTATTCTATTTTTCTTCCATTTCCAGAGGCTGGTGGAGAAGGGAGTTCTGCTTAGGACAAGGGAAAATAAATTAAATTTCAAAGCATTCTTTGTGTTGGTTCTTCGTATATGGACATCTGACTATGTTTTGGGCTATTAAAATTGTGATGTTTAGTTTTAGGTAGAGGACAGAGAGATAGATTACTCGGAGTAAGGAAACAAAATTGTGTGAGGTTGGAAGAATGAAGAAGAAAGAGAAGACAGCAAGCAGTAAGGAATAACCTGAAAGAATATGGCTGGGATAAAAATTCTCCTTGAAAGAGAAATGGCTGTTGGATTTTAGGACAGCATTGTCTAACATCCACATTGAAGCTGCTGTTTGTCTATGACTAACTCTATACTAGAAGCTATAAGAGTTACAGAAGTCATATTTATTCTCAAGACTCTTAGAGTCTTTGGGGGGAGACATATCTTCAGTAAATGTCTGCCATACACACTAAGTTTGTGGCACTTGTGGGTTTCCAGTGACCTGAACCAGTGAGAAAAGATGGCCTCTAGTAGAGGCATGAGCTATTGCTGGGACACTAGCTGCAACACTTTCAAGGAGAACATAAGGCCCTGGAAATCCACAGAAGTTTTATGGGAGGACTTCTGAAAGTATCTAGGGATTGGGGCTTGAGAACCATCTTATTTAGGTATTAAAGGGTAGACCCCTAGAATGCCCAAGGACCTTATATTATCCAGGTTACACATGTGGCTCACTGACCACAGCTTTTTTAATCTGAAAAATTAGGGAGTTGGATTATATGATCACTTACAAATATAAAATCCTAGGATTCTGTGAAATACAAAAACATGTGTCAGAGACAATAAATATTGTGATGAAGTAGGGAAAATTAATTTAAACTGGGGTAAATGGAGATACCGCCATGGAGGTGGTAGAATTTTAGATATGATTTAAGGAATGGATAAAATGACATAGGTCAAGATAAGGAAGATGATATTCAAATGGGGAAAATAACACTAGGAAGGTTTTAAATGGGAATGAATGTTTCTTTTTATGGTGGACAAAATAGTAGCTTGACTAGTATTAGAAAATATACAATAGGAAGCAGAAATATTGAAAGATAAGGAAATTTTGCCTTAGCAAATTACCTATACCTTCCCTTCTCCTAAGTCTTTATTAAGGATAACTAATAAAGTTCAGAGAGAAAAGGACTGTGACTCTAGAAATTTATATCTGGTAAGGTTATCATTCACATGTGAAAAGTCATGTTTAGGCATTCACAAACTCAAAAAGTATATCAGTCATATACTCTTAAATTGCATAGACAAATACCCCAGACAAAACTGGGGAGGAGCAAAATATAAAAAACAATAGTGGTGGGTCAATAAACACAGTAAATATATAGTTAAACTTAATGAATGTTGATAATAGTGTTATAAATCATAGTGAGAGGAGCAAAATATAAAAAACAATAGTGGTGGGTCAATAAACACAGCAAAGGGCCGGCCCGGTGGCGCACTGCTACAGTGCGCCGCTTGGGAGCGCGGCGGCGCCCCCCCCGAGGGGTCGGCTCCCAC